GCAGGAATGGAGTTAATCTTAAACAGACCATCTGACTAAGAATGGGAGATGAATGGTTTCCCATAGGACATTTGGGATGCTTGTTCCAGAAGAAGGGGAAAGGTGCTAAGCAGCAAACCACAGTGATCTGCTTCAGTTGTTAATTCAGATTTTGAGCTGTAAATTAATAAAGTCTTTTATTACGGTTGTAGAGATCATCCGTGTATCATGTGGACTGGAGGCTGCAGGAGAATTCCAGTTTTGGTATTCCATGCTGAGGCTATTCTGACAAAGGACAACAATATTCGAGTAATTGGAGGTAGGTATGACCTTCCCCACTGAGGGAAGGGCTGGGCATGGCCCTGATAACCTCATCTTACAGAAAGTGATAACCATATTTAGTTAGGGAAAGGGCCTTGGTCATGAGAATATTCTGTTGATTTTTTTATACTTGAACGGATTATTTGTGATTTCTTAAATTGTTTTCTGCATATTAAATTATCTTTCCTCTTCTTTTTTTGAATTACGTGTACATGTGTTTATTTTTTGGTTTTTTTCTTCCAGTTTTATAGAGAGATCATTGACATACACCACTGTACAAGTTTAAGGTGTACAGCATAGTGATTTAACTTACATATATCATGAAATGATTATCACAATAAGTTTAATGGTACTGTTTTTTATAATTTTGGTAAAATACACATAACAAAATTTACTGTTTTTACCATTTTAAAGTATACAACTCAGTGGCATTTTAGTACATTCACAGTATTGTGCAGCCATCACCACTATCTAGTTTCAGAACATTTTCATCTAAAAGTAAACCCTGTACCCATTAAGCAGTCACTCCCCAACCCCCTTATCCCAGCTCCTGGCAACCACTAAGCTTTCTGTCTCTATGACTTTACCTAATCTGGATATTTCATATAAATGGACTCATACAATACATAGCCTTTTGTGTCTGGCTTCTTACACTTAGCATAATGTTTTCAAGGTTCATCCATGTTTTAGCATATGTCAATACTTCATTCGTTTTTGCGGCTGAATAACATCCCATTGTATGGATATACCACATTTTGTTTATCCATTCATCAGTTGATGGATAAGTGTTTCCAGCTTTTGGCTCTTGTAAATAGTGCTGCTATGAACATTCATGCACAAGTTTTTGTTTGAACACCTGTTCTTAGTTCTTTTGGGTATATACCTAGGAATGGAATTGCTAAGTTGTATAGTAATTCTATGTTTAACTTATTAAGGAACTGCCATAGGATTTTCCACAGTGACTGCACAATTTTATGTTCCCACCAACAATATATGAGAGTTGAAATTTCTCCATATCCTCAGTAACATTCATTGTTTTCTGTTTTTTAGAATATAGCTATACTAGTGGGTGTGAAGTGGTATCTTATTGTGGTTATGATTTGCATTTCCCTAATGATTAATGACATTGAGCAGCTTTTCATGTTCCTTTTGGCCATTTATATTATCTCCTTTGGAGAAATGTCTGTCAAGGTTTTTGCCTATTTTTTAATCGGGTTGCTTATCTTTTTGTTGTTGAGTTGTAAGGGTTCTTCATATATTCTGGATACTAGACCCTTATCAGAAAAATGATTTCCAAATATTTTTTCCTCTGTGGTTTGTCTTTTCATGCTCTTGATAGTGTTCTTTCATGGGGAAAAGTTTTTCATTTTGATGATGTTCCATTTATCTACTTTTTCTCTTGTTGCTTATGCTTTTGGTGTCATATCTAAGAAACCATTGCCTAACCCAAAGTCATGATCCCTATGCTTTCTTCTAAGAGCTTTATAGTTTAAGCTCTTAAGTTTAGAGCTAAACGGTCTTTGTTCCATTTTGAGTTAATTTTTTTATATAGTGTGAGATAAGGGTCCACCTTCATTCTTTTACATGGTGGATATCCAGTTGCCCCAGCATGATTAGTTGAAGAGACTATTCTTTCCTTACTGAATAATCTTGGCACTATTGTTGAAAATCAGTAGACCATTAGATATATGGGTTTATTTTTGGACTCTTAATAATTCTGTCAGTCTGTTTGTTTATCCTTATACCAGTGCCATATTATTTTTATTACTGTATCTTTGTACTAAGTTTTGAAATTGGGAAGTGTGAGTCCTCTAACTTTGTTCTTCATCTTCAAAATTTTTTTGCTATTCAGGGTCCTTTGCAATTCTTTTTTTTTTTTTTTTTTTACTATCTCCATTTTTACTGATAAGGAAGTTGGGGAATGATACAGAGAGAATAATTCAGCAGGTAACATATAGAACCTGGTACACAAAAGCAACCATAGAAGCTTAGGGACTGTGTCCCATTAGATTCTCTGTATACTGTTGTATACAAGACTATAGTCAGATCGATGTTCAATTCATGTTTATCAGCAGCAGCACATGGTTTACCTTGTCTCCTTTGTAGTCAGAAAACATACTAGTGCATATAAAATGAGTAAGGCAACAAGCATATATTCAACTACAGTGCTATCTCTGAGAATGGCAAGATGGCAGAAGACGGAACATGAAGTAATACAGCAGAAAAAGTAATGACCGAATTAAGTAAAATGTTTTCTAAGCAATAGGTGAGACACTTTCAAGGGGCATCCATATGGGTTGGTGTTCTTTCCTTCCCACAAAATCCAATACGAGTGCCTACTTTATGGTGCACAACTTGTGGAGATGCACAGGGCCCATGGTTAGAAGGCAGGCTCCTCTTGGTTATATGCTCTGCTGTCACTCTCTCAAAAGTTTTAATAGGGCTTCCCTGGTGGCGCAGTGGTTGGGAGTCCGCCTGCCGATGCAGGGCACACGGGTTCGTGCCCCGGTCCGGGAGGATCCCGCATGCCGCGGAGCGGCCAGGCCCGTGAGCCATGGCCGCCGGGCCTGCGCGTCCAGAGCCTGCGCTCCGCAGCGGGAGAGGCCGCAGCAGCGAGAAGGCCGCGTACTGGCAAAATCTGGGGGAACTCTAGGGCACTTGAGATACAAAGTGTTCTCCATGGGTTCGCCTAGCTTCCTTTCCAAGGACACTGTATCTATGATTGCTTGTAGCTCACACTTTGTTGTCACTCACCATTCACTTCTCAGGGATGAGGAGGTAAAATACCTCTTGTTCACTGACCTGGTGGCACGGTGGTTGAGAGTCCACCCGCCGATGCAGGGGGCGCAGGTTCGTGTCCCGGTCCGGGAAGATCCGCGGCTGGGGCCGTGAGCCATGGCCGCTGAGCCTGCGTGTCCGGAGCCTGTGCTCCGCAATGGGAGAGGCCACAGCAGTGAGAGGCCCGCGTACCGAAAAAAAAAACATTTATTTAGGTCTTCTTTAATTTCTGTAGCAATGTTTTATAGTTTGCTGTGTGCAAGTCTTGTAGCTCCTTGGTTAACTTATTCTTCAGTATTTTATTCTTTTTGATGCTATTATAAATGGAATTGCTTTCTCAATTTCATTTTTGGATTGTTCATCGTCAGTGTATAGAAATACTATTGATTTTTTAAAAATAAATTTATTTTATTATTTTATTTTATTTATCTATTGTTTCTGGCTGCGTTGGGTCTTCGTTCCTGCGCGAGGGTTTTTCTCTGGTTGCGGCGAGTGGGGGCTACTCTTCATTGTGGTGCGCAGGCTTCTCATTGTGGTGGCTTCTCTTGTTGTGGAGCATGGGCTCTAGGCGCACCGGCTTCAGTAGTTGTGGCACGTGGGCTCAGTAGTTGTGGCTCGTGGGCTCTAGAGCGCAGGATCAGTAGTTGTGGCTCACGGGCTTAGCCGCTCTGTGGCATGCGGGATCGTCCCAGACCAGGGCTCAAACCCATGTCCCCTGCACTGGCAGGCAGATGCTCAACCACTACACCACCAGGGAAGCCTTACTACTGATTTTTTGTATACTGATCCTGTATCCTGAAACCTTGCTGAACTCATTTATTAGCTCTACTAATGAGTGTGTGTGTGTGTGTGTGTGTGTGTGTGTGTTCGTTAGGATTATCTCTATACAAGATCATGTCATCAGTAAATAGAGATTTTTACTTCTTCCTCTCTAACCTGAATACCTCCCTACCTCCCTCTCTTTCTTTTTCTTCTTCTTTTTCCTAATTGCTCTGGCTAGAACTTCCAGTACAGTGTTGAATAGAAGTGAAAATGGGCATCTTTGTCTTCTTCCTGATCTTTGGGGGAAAGCTTTCTGTCTTTCACCATTTGGTATGATGTTAGCTATGGGTTTTCATAAATGCCCTTTATCATGTTGAGGAAGTTCTCTTCTATTCCTTTGTTGAGTGTTTTTATCATACAGCAGTGTTGCATTTTGTCAAATGCTTTTTCTACATCAATCGAGATGAGTCTATGTTTTTTTTCCTTCATTTTATTAATGTGGTGTATTACATTGATTGACTTTTGTATATTGAACCACCCTTGCATTCCTGAGATAAATCTTACTTGAGCATGGTATATAGTCCTTTTAATATGCTGCTGGATTTGGTTTGCTAAGTATTTTGTTTAGGATGTTTGCATCTATATTCATAAGGGATATCATTCTGTAATTTTCTTTTCTTTTGATGTCTTTGTCTGGCTTTGTTATCGGTAATGCTGCCCTCATAGAATGAGTTCCTTCCTCCTCTTTGGAAGAGTTTGAGAAGGATTTGTGTTAATTCTTTAAATGTTCGATAGAATTCACCAGTGAAGCATCTAGTCCTTAGCTTTTCTTTGTTGGAAGGTTTTTGATTACTAGTTCAACCTCTACTTATCTATTCTATTTTCTATTTCTTATTGAGTCTGTTTTGGTAGTTTGTGTGTTTCTCTAGGTTATTTTCCATTTTATTTAGTTGATCTAATTTTGTTGGCATACAGTTGTTCGTAGTATTCTTTTATAGTCCTTTTTATTTCTGTAATACAGTAGTAATGTCCCCACCTTCATTTCTGATTTTAGTAATTTGAATCTTTTCTCTTTGTTTTTAGTTAGTCTAACTAAAAGTTTGTCAATTTTCAGAATCATTTTAAAGAGCAAACTTTTTATTTTGCTTACTTCCTCTGTTGTTTTTCTATCCTTAATTTCATTTATGTCCACTCCTCTTTGACTTTAAGCAGTGCTCTGAATCCAGGTGTTAGCCTGTAGCTGTCTTCTAAGGTTACATACTGTGGATCCAAACTTTTGTGCGATATGGTGGAAAGAGTCTATACATGGGTTCTCAGTCAATATTTCAGATCCCAGCTTTGGCATTTACTAGCTGTGAGTCTTGTACAATCACTTAAACTCTCTTAATCTATTTCATTATTATAAAATGGAGATAATAGCTACCTTGCAGGCATTGTAAGAACGAGATCACTAATGTT